GCACACAAGGTGGGAGTATTGCATTTTATTATAGCAAGAGATCCACACTGTAAAAAAAAATCCTGTAAAAAAACGGTAAAATTCCGGAAAATTACCGTTAAATAACGGGCATACAGTGTTTTGCTGTCATTATACATGAGATTTTCTGTGTTTTCTTCAGCTTTCAATGTTCAATAAGGAACTTTACTTAAATACTGTGGAAAGTTAAGTAAAAACCATGAAATTATCATTCAGTTTGAACACTGCTTTAATTCAAATAATCAGCCGTAAGTGCAAAACAGTGTTTTAATGCAAGAATATACCATCTTAACTGCAAGAATATACCAATAGTTTGTTCAGAACTGCAATTTACTAATATTCTTTGTTCAAAACTGCAACAATATACCAGTAGATAAACCACATTGGAATCATGTCACTTTGCTGCCATAAACAGGAAATGTACACAAGGTCCTATGGCAAGCCGTTTTAGCATTTAAAAGTTTGTTTTGACTATCCATAAATATAATTTAAGATAGGAACAATTGTATTTTGACGAGTCATAATTATAATTCGACTAGACACAATGACAATTAGAGATATCTACAATTATAATTGCACTAGTAAGAAATTGGATTAGAGATATCTCTAAATACTTGACTAGTCAAAACTCCATTTAAGATATCTGTAATGACATCATATATATCTTCAATAGGGCATCACACATACACAAAGGTAATTAGAGATATCTCTAATTCAGTTTCGATTAGTCACAATTATATTTTAAGATATCTGAATTGTACCTGCTCCTTGTCGAATGTGCTGTTGTGTGACGTGAGACTAAATTTACTCCGCTCCTCCCAGAGCCCTTCCCCGACTAATGTTTAGTGCTAACTGCTAATAATAGTGGTCTGCTTTTCTTGTCACGGAGAGAAAAGCTACTGGATGAAGTGCTTCAGGGATTTTTAAATAATATCTGGATGCAGCCTTATGTGGTAAAAGGTCTCCAGCGTGCATGTATGTATAGCACTGTGATTTTAATTGAATCATGTTGCAAAACTTAAGATATCTGAATTGTACCTGCTCCTAGTCGAATCTGCTGTTGTGTGAAGTGCGACTAAATTTACTCAGCTCCTCCCAGAACCCCTCCCCGACTAATGTTTAGTGCTAACTGCTAACAACAGTGGTCTGCTTTTTAGTGATGGGAAGTTCGGATCATTTTACCGATTCGGA